TGTCCATTTCTGGCATACAGCATCATGTCCCTACTGTCCAAAATGTTGTCTTAGTCCATTTGAGCTGCTCAAACAATAACAACAGAGGCTGGATAGCTTCACAGGCATTTATCTCTCACAGCCCTGGACACCAGGAGGCACGGGCAGATTTGGTGTCAGGTTTGAAGGCCCACTTCCCGGCTCACAGATGCCAACTTCTCGCTGTGTTCTCACCTAGTGGAAGGGGTGACGGAGCTCTCTGGGGTGTCTGTCATTGGGTCTCATTCATGAGGGCTCCACTGTCAACCTAATGAACCCCCAAAGTCCCTACCTCCAAACACCATCACATGGGGTGTCAGGTTTCAACATACGCTGAAGGGACACAGATACTCAATTTATAGTATATATTGTCTGAAACACAGCTCACTCTCTATTTCCACAGATACTAAAGAGGAGAAGGAAACGGTTTCTAAACACATTGAGCTGTTTTAACACTGAAATCAACCATGCATTGAATTTTTGTTCACTGACGCTTCCCAAGCACCCAGGCATCTGGCTCATAGCGAGCACTGAGGCGCCTTGTTGAATGAATGAAGGTATGACTGCAAAGTGCAAAATCCCAAAAAGATGAAAACCCTAAGATGAGAAACTCAAACCCTACATCTGACAGTTCATATTTTCAAAAATTTCCAACAGGGGTAAGGACAGTTAATAGTAGCATGTTTTACCTTAATTCAAAAAGACACCTGCACCCCAATGTTCACAGCAGCACTATTTACAGTAGCCGAGACATGGAAACAACCTAAATGTCCATCAACAGAGGACCGGATAAAGAAGTTGTAATATATTTATACAATGGAATACTACTCAGCCATAAAAAAGAATAAAATAATGCCATTTGTAGCAACAGGGATGGCCCTAGAGAATGTCATTCTAAGTGAAGTAAGCTAGAAAGAGAAAGAAAAATACCATATGATATCACTTATATGTGGAATCTAAAATAAAAGACAAACAAACTTATTTATAAAACAGAAACAGACTCACAGACATAAAAAACAAACTTATGGTTACCGGGGGGGCAGGGGGTGGGAAGGGATAAACTGGGAGTTTGAGATTTACAGATACTGACAGGTATATATAAAATAGATAAACAAGTTTATACTGCAGAGCACAGGGAACTATATTTGATATCTTGTAGTAGCTTATGGTGAAGAAGAATATGAAAATAAATAAATGTGTATTCATGTATGACTGAAGCTTGTGCTGTACACCAGAAATTGACACAACATTGTAAGCTAACTATACCTGAATAAAAAAAATAACATATTTTTTAAAAGCAGACACACTTTTTAAAATAAAATTTGAAATCTATAATGAGTTTTTTGGTTTGTTTCTGAAATTCTTTTTTAAAAATTTTTAATTGAAGTTAAAAGTTTAACTGAAGTTTGAAGAACCAAAAGCAATAATGAAAATATACTATGATTTCTACCACCTGATTCATATCTCAACAGAAAGAATTTTCAAGGTAATAAAGTCAAAAAGGTATTTACCTTATGTTTCTTTAACCTAAGAATATGGATATACATAATAAATAATATCTTCAATAATATTTATAGAGGATGCAGAAAACTATTAATGATAATAGTCTGTTCATTTATTTACTATATACTAAAATAATCTTTAACCCATATATGATGAATATAATTCTAAAACTTTTAGCAGAGCTGAGTCTAGAATGTTGATTTTCTAATACCTAATTCAGAAATGTTTCTAATTTTCCCACTGTACCATCCTATATATACCATATATGGAAAAGAATCTGACCATGGAATTACATGCACACACACACACGTGCACAAACATACATGTAAAGTTTCCATAACACACACAGCACATACACAGACAGGCACATTTGCCAGTACCAATCAGCGTACTGAAACAAGACATGAGTCCTTTCAGTAAATTTTAAATGATTTCATTAATTAAATTATTACATTCACCCAACACTGTCAAGCAGATGATTCACTACATTTTGCATTGGTTATCCCTGTCTACTTCTCCTCGCTTATCAGGTCATGATTTTTTTGTTTCATGATCTCTCTTTCGATTACTTTGCATCAGTCAGTACCCAGAGTACAAAAAATAAATAAATTTGATCCTACAATTAAAAAAAAATCTGAGATTTCAACTTGACACCAGCCATCAAAAGTCTGTATCAATTTACCAAGAAGTAGAATTGATTCCTTTTCTCCTTCTACAAATTTACTCTGCTCTATATGCTAGTTACACTTTTATTAGGAACTTTAAAATATGAAGCCTGGATGAAAAACAGCAGGGCTCTGCGGTGTAGTAATACCACCACCTTTCAGATCATCACAAAGAACATCCACACATCCATTGTCGGCCGACATCGAAAACCAAGAAACCGACCACCTGGGTTGTTTTTATTTTTCTCTTAGTTTCTGACAAATTTGAAAGAATATGCTCACAGGCTAAATTGCCTTAATTTATTTTAGATTTAAAAATACATAAATTTGAATGGAACACGTTATTCTCTTACTGCAAATCAACGATTGAAAATGCATAGAAATCAAAGGACTATAACCAAGTGACCATTCGGCAAGTCTCCAAATTGTGAGCTTTACGGTACTCCCATGCCCAGCTCCGGACAAGGCTTCTCAAAGCTTCCTCAGTTCATTCCTAAGCTACATCCTCATTCTTTTTTAGTTTTGTGTTGTTAGGGGGGAGGTAATTAGGTTTATTTATTTATTTTTAATGGAGGTATAACAGAAAAGAACAAATCTGAGGCTTTATTAGATCTGTTCCTTTAGCTTTAACCACTGTGCCCTGTCTTCCAGGCTTAGTCTTGCTAGCTGTGCACTCATGTGAAGATAACAAAGTTGCAGAATAGAGAATAACCTTTGTTTTGTTGGAGGTTTTGCAGGAGCACCATGAGCTGGCCCACATGGACGGCTGCAAGAAAAAAGGATTCCTACACCAAGAAGTTTGCAACAACCAACCACACCTCCTCCCCAGTTTTTTTGTGTAAAAGGAGCCTGTATTATGACTGGAGCAGGATGGTTCTCCAAGACATTAGTCTGCCATTGTCTCGATCTGCTGGCTTTCTGAATAAAGTCTCTATTTCTTGCCCCAACACCTTGTCTCCCAATTTATTGGCCTGTCATGCGGCGAGCAGAACAAGTTTGGACTCAGTAACAAAGGTACTGGGGATTGAACCTAGGACTTGGTGCATGCTAAGCAGGCACTCTACCACTGAGCTATACCCTCCCCTCCACATCCTTCTTACTAACCAACTTGTCACACATCTATTTATTGGAAACTGCACTCAAGCATGGCTCCATCAGTCTCCACTGTCCTTCCTCAACAGAAAAACATCTGTGGATGCCCTTCCCTCAAACTTTGCCATTCTTTCCCCAACTGCAGCTGCTGCACATAATGGGGATGTGCAGCTTTTAGAGGATCCATCCAACTGGCAATCAAGGCTGCTTGATTATTCTCCACAAACCACCTGCACATGGGTGCCAATCACCCTCAGGTTGCCCATGTCGCAGCCTCTCTCCGGATTCGCGAAGTGAACCTGCTGCTCGGGGCTGCTGAGGTCGCCCCGTGGGTGTTTTGGGCTTAATCCAGGATGGTGGACTCCATGACCTCGGCAGTGGATGCCTGTCTCACAGGGAAGCCTGGGGTTGGAAGGGTAAATGGCAGTCCCTTAGGAGGAGAAGGGTCCGGTACTTCAAAGGATAAGCAAGTGATGGCGGAAACGTGGCACAGATGGATGCAACAAACGAAGAACTGGAGAGCAATTGTTTTTAACAATCATTTGCAGTGGAGGGTAATGAGGCAGGGCATCCTGAAAATTCTCCTGCTTTTCTTGGTACCCAGCACTTAATTCCCCTTTCTCTGTCTCCAGAAGTCATACTGCTAGATTTGGGGCGTGTCCAAAAACAGCGAGCTGGGTGAAGAAGAAATCTTACTGTCACTCTTCATTTAGTTCATTGCGATATGGACACATGAATGTAAATTATGGGTTAAATTCCAATAAGTGACTTTTATCTCCTAATAACAAAATGTTATTTATAATACATCATGAATTTCCAGAGAAAGGTACCAGGTGGACTCCTTTGGTTACATTTCACAATATGAATTTTTTCACCCTACCTTTTTCTATTATTAAAATGCTCAATTAAGGAGCCCACTTCTTAGTGGACCTGGCGTTTGTCAACCTCCGAGAGATGAGTGTGTAGGGATTAAAGGCCATCTGTGCCTCTTCTACATCTTTCCTATCAAAAAAATGGAGTTTATATTTAATATGAAGCTTTCAAAAAGGCTCTTAATAGGGTTCAGGGGATGACGCTGCTTTTGGCTATTTCTGTCCCCAATATCATCCCCTCCCCCAGCACAGAATGACTCCGCCACCCTGAAACGACCCGGCAGGTGACGCACCTGCCTGAGAAGCGGAGGATAAAGAGCCAGTCCAGTGGAGGTCCGGGGACTGGACCTGATTCATAAGCAGCTACAATTTGCTGCTTCTTTACAACCAGAAAAATTATTCATGGTTGCACATCACCAGACTCTAAGACCCCCTCAGAACACTCCCCCAGGTTCTCACTCCCCAGGGAGGAGGCTCCTGAGCTAAAACCACCCTCACTGTGAATTAGTGCGGACACAGAGCACCGCGGCCAACCATCCCTCTCCTCGCTGCACTGAAACAGGTAAAAGGGCGGAAGTGCCCAGGGCACCGTATTCCTGAAACATCCCTGCAGAAATGGCAAGGCCCATTCCCAAGTACTCAGTAAACACGGACTTTACATTCTTAGCAAACGATAAAAGAAAGAGCTTGTCGCAGAACAAGCTGTCGTGTCACTTAAAAAAGCAGGAAACCCGCTGGCGTGGGTACTGCGTGCACCTTGTCTGACCAGAGAAAAGGTTTCACTCCTCTCTCCCGGGAAGCACTCTCTCTCACTTCTCTCTCCCAGGGCCCCTGTGTGCTGTCGGTTTACCTCCTTCAGGTCCTGCACGACGGCCGTGAGCCTCTCATTTTCTGCCTGCACGTTAGTGACCACAGCCCGGCTCTGTTTCAGCTCGTTCTGCATCTCCAAGATCTTCCCCAGATAGTAAGCCTCCTTCGACGCGGACTCCTGCAGAAGCGTCTCCTCCCGAGTCTCGCCATCCTCAGCAACCTTACGGTGGATGGAGAAGGACTGGCCAAACGCCTGCACAGGATTTGGAAAGAAAAGAGAGCGCACAATGAAACGCATCGCAGCACGACCGAACGGACTTGGGAACATGATTTGTTTTGCTTTGTGTACAAGGGAAGCTATTCCGCAAGACTTACAGAAGCAAAAAACACATAGTTCATGTAAGAGGCTAGCAGCTCTCACAGACACGAAATATTTCAAATTCAGTTAATAAGCGGAAAGAGAATTTTAAAAGATTTTACTAAAATATATATATATATAATGCATTAAAAGAAAACTTGAAAAATATAGCTGCTTGTTTTATGTTACCATTTTGAGACAAATCCTATTAAGGAATAGCCGGTTCAGTGCTAATGAGCCCATCAAAATTCATGTTCTTATTTGCATTCTAGGAAAAAGTCCTCAAAATAATTTTCAAGAAAGAAAATAATAGTTTCACTAGCGCTCTAATACATTAGTGGTAAGAAAATACCAATATGAACAGTATCCTTAAGAGAGAAAATCACCAAACAGCATTTGAACTGCCTGGTACCACAAAAACACACTGCAGTGCATTCACTGTATAAGAAAACATTTGTGCAAAAAGAAATACAGGGGGAGAGATAGCTCAGTGGTAGAGTGTGTGCTTAACATGTGGGAGGTCCTGGGTTCAGTCCTCAGGACCCCCATTAACAAATAAATACACCTAATTACACCCCACCCCCCAAAAGAGAAATACAGAAGAATTATTCATAAATTAATGAAATTGGGAAGCTACATGGGGGTGAGTGAGAATGAGGCGGAAACGAAATGGATGAGGGAACGAAATACGATACGAGGGATCACACTTCAGGGGAGCCACACTTTTCTGAGTAAGCCTTTTCATACCGTTCTGACTCAGCACTACGGCAGTTTCACATACTTCTCAAATAAGTAATAATTAAAATCAGCCTCCGTGTGTCCAGGGACCGAAATGGAACAGAAACAGTAACAAATGCACCTGGCTGTGTTACAAGTGAACAGCATAACCACGCTGAAAGGGGTCGATAAGAAAAGATCAACCAGAGTAATTAATTCTGGAAATTGGTACTTTGGCGATACACCGTAAAGCTAATGACAAATGAGCTGTATCCAACCGCTATAGTCTAGTTAGTAAATTTGTATCTCACGGGATTATGGGATCACAGTTCTGAAACTTCTTGACTTGTCTACTGCAGTCGAGGTGTTTGGTTTGTTCTGTCTCAGGACAGAAGAAACTCTTACTTGACATGCCAGATTTCTACACGTGGTTATAAGCATAGAGACGAATAAATGAAAAAGTATCGTCGCAGGTGATGTTCACCTTGCTTTTCCATCATTAATGACCAGATTCCATGAAGTCAATTCTGAATTCATTACCCATTAAAAAGCCTTTGGAGGGGAGATGTCTGTAAGCACATCTCCGCATGGTGACCTGGTGACATCTTCAGTGGACCCTCACCCTGGGCAAAGGAACCCTGACTATATACTGAAGTATTAAGAAAGCTTTAAATTAGCATGAACTGTGTGTCAAGCACCTCAGCTAGCTTTTTCTTCACAACTGCTTCCCCGAGTCAATGTAACAGAAAGCTTCCATGGCACCATTTTCCTTACTCTGCCTGAGATAGACTTAGGCAATCTACGGTTCTCACCTTATTCTCAGCACATAGGCAGTGCTCTCTTGGTGGCTAAAACAACCCCTAAGGCCTTAACAGCACGTGAATTTATATTTCCACCTTTAATGTAAAGTTTAAGAATTGTACTCTAGATCCAGCACCAAAGGAAATAAAACATTTCCTACATATACACAGAATAGATCTTCGAAAGAGTCAAGTATTGAAATTGAACTCATATTTATTGCAGCTTAGAAACCTTAACTGAACATATAGGGGCCTCCAAAGTTAGTCATCATTTTTTTTCCTTCATTGAACCTGGTTTGGAAACCAATGGAAGTTTGCAAGTTTATCCAAGGACATTTACCATTTTTATCCCTTGAAATAGAAAAATAATACCAATGCAGCACAGGTTACAGATGCCCCATGATCTGCACTTGCAAATCTGCTGAGAACTAATGCTACTCAGAAAATACCTGCATCTTAGAAGGGCTGGTGAAGGAGAAAACAACCCCACTTTACCTAATCCCTAATGGTCAGTAGCTGGAACTGGGTGTGGTTTTGGAACTGGGCATGAATTTGGCTAACTGTTGGCTTACCCAGCCTGTCTGGCTCTGCCAGGTACTGCCATCCTCCATCACCCTTCCAGGTCTCCCCTGACAAAGTTGGACCCAAGAGAAGAGAAACTCCCTTTTTCAAGGCTATTGAAGCTGCAGGCTTGGCAGAAATCACAAATTAGTTTCGATGTCTATTTATAGGCAAACCTAGGGCAGCCATGCTTCCAGTTACATTTTGTTCAGATAGCAGATTCCTTTTAGACACTGCAGTCATTTCACGGATAATTTTTATTTGAAGTTAACTGAGGTACAATGACATTTCTATACCATTTTATTATGATTTCTCATCATGTGTGTAGCTATAATTTACACAGTATCACCTTTAATATATTCCATTACAATGGATCACGGCCACTTTCAATTACATGCCAGGGGAAGCCCAATTAGCTGTATAAGTACCTTGCTTTCATTCTACTCACGTGACTCTTTTTTTAAATTGAGGTATAGGCAGTTTACAATGTTATGCCAATTTCTGGTGTACAGCACAGTGCTTCAGTCATACATGAATATACATATATTCGTTTTCATATTCTTTTTCACCATAAGCTACTACAAGATATTGAATATAGTTCCCTGTGCTATGCAGTATAAATTTGTTTATCTATTTTTTGTATACCAGTCAGTATCTGCAAATCTCCAACTCCCAGTTTATCCCTCCCACCCTCTTCCCACATCACATGACTTCTTAACTCAAAGAAAATTGGTATTTTTCACCTTCATGTTCCGGACTTTATGTTAACTGTTAAGCTAAGTATGCAAGGAATTTTCTGATTATTCTTATAATTCTTCATAATATGAAAGACAAAACAAATCCAGGTTTGGCTAGTGTATTTAATAATGCCATATTATCTTTAAAATATGTGTCCTTGGTTACAGAATTTTCATTCTTTCATCTTAAAAACTGTGGCAGAGCCATATCCTAGGTCACTCAAGGACATTAGACAAAATATTTTTTATCTGAAATACTAAAGTGTATTCATTTGTTTGTTCATTCACTCAGTAAGTATTTACAGAGAACTGTAACAGGCACTGCTTTAGGCTCTAAGCAGCAGCAATATTGTAGAAAAAAATCTCTGCCACTGGGAGCAAACACTCCTGTGGAACACAAATAAATCAGTAAGTATGTGGCACTGTGTTGGAAAAGTCCTAAAAAGAAAATGAAACCCAGGGTCAGAGCATAAAACAGCAATGACATTTATCTGTGTTGTCCAGCATGGTAACCACTGTCCCCGTATGGCTAATGAGCTCTTGAAACGTGGCTAGTATGACCAAAGAATTAAATTTTTAATCTATGTAATTTAATCAGTGTTAATTGTCACATATGGCTAGTGGCTACCATGGTGGGCAGAGCAGGGATAGACAGTAAGGCAGGTGCTGAGAGCGGGAGCCTCCCTTAGAGGGGACAGTCAGAGAAGGGAGGGACCTTTGAGCAGACACCCGAATAAAGGAGGGTTGAGCCAGAACCTGACCTTCCCCCAGAGGAGCAAAGCTAAACTGAAGCTTTGCTAAGCAGAAACTACAGCGTAGCCAGGGCGCCTCTCTGAAGACTTCTCCGTGGTGGTTCCTTAAAGTCGCAGCCTCAGCACTAAGACCTGAGGGCTCCGGGAACGTTTACACACGATTTAACGCTGGGGGAAGGAAACGGCTGTCAACTGGCCTGTCACTGGAACCCACCCCCCCCAATGAACTATATTACCTTCTTTGAACATATAATAAAAATTATTTGACCAATAATATTTCTCTGTTGCCTCAGCTGCCACGAAGTTCCACATTACATGCTCTGCAGCAATTCACTGAAATACCTTGTTTCTGGTACAGCTATCTCCTGTTTTCTCTATGCTGTTTTGAGTTTTTATTGTATTTATCCCACTGTATTGGTTTCTTTTATTTTAATCTATTTCAAATACTTCTGGAGTAAAAAGAATATATTATAATCCCAGCAAATGGTTTAAATGATATTTAATTACCATGTTTTAAATTAAGTCTTAAGGAAAGTCCAAATTAAAGGACAGAGTTTGAGAGTTTAATAGAGCTGTTAGCTCTATGAAGGATTAATTCTTATTCCACGGAAAACAGTGAGCCCAAAGGATCGCATAAAGCGTGCATGCATGCATGCATACATGCGCGCGCATGCACACAAACACACACAAAGCAGTAAACTAGCTAAACTTCTTTGAATTGGGTAAGAAACATTTCCCAAACCACTATGTTCCAGCAGCGAAGTGTCTTAGAAGGTATGGTCCAATTAGAAAACAAGGGATCAAATGAACTTATATATAAAACAGATCAGCAAGTTTATACTGCATAACACAGGGAAATATATTCAATATTTTGTAGTAGCTTATGGTGAAAAAGAATATGAAAACAAATATACGTATATTCATGTATGACTGAAGCATTGTGCTGTACACCAGAAACTGATACAACATTGTAAACTAACTATACTACAATAAAAATAAATAAAAATAAAAATAAACTGCTAAAAGAAGTTGATAATAAAAAAAAAAGAAAAAGAAGAGAAGAGAAGGCATCACTGTAGGTGAGACAACCCAAAAGCTCCCAGCTGGGAGAAATCCATTTCTATGACTTACGTGGCTCAAACCTTATTAGGAGTCATAAGGTCCCCCCAATATTTAGAATTAAGCCTGCTCCTTCAATGGTAGATGTACTCCTAGGAGGCAAAAGAGGTTAAAGATGTGAGCTCCTTTACTGGACCAACTCTGCCACTCACTAATTGTATGACACTGAGCAAGTTACTGAACATTCTGTGCCTCAGTTTTCTCGTCTG